ACAAGGCTTCTTACCTACATGTAGAATCAGAAAATACTGGCCAGAAGGGACCCTAACAATCATCTGGTCTACCTCTCTCAAGCTGTAACAGAGGAAAGCAGTTTTAGAAAGGTTCTGGACGTGGCTAAGGTCAAGTGCATGGTAAGTGGCAGAGTGTAGACTTGAACCACTTTCTACATTTAATGTTCATTCATTATGTCACCTTGCCTCTCTCTTCTGCTTTCCTTTCCTGTACTTTCTCTCCTTTTTTTGTTACTGCTTTCCATTTCCCCTGTGAGAACCAGGTCTTGGATGATGAGGAGGTGAGTCAAACTACAGTGGGTCGGGTTGTGAAGAACAGCCACAACGAGGTGCAACAGGAAACTGAGGAAAGGTTCTGGCAGAGGCAGCCAGAAAAAGTTTGGCTGACAGGTTCAGCATAAGGTAGAGGCTCAGGTAGATAGGTGGAGAGCTGGGAATTCAACATCAGATAACACACAGAAATGTATAAGCAGATTAGATGAGCAGCAGGGAGCAGGGACCCAGACTCAGGAATGGCCTTTCAGTGATAAGGATTTGCATTCATAAGACCTGAGGTGCGGTACCAAGGGATGTGACCACAGGGGTCCTGGTACTGGGACCTGGAACCAGAAACTGGAATACAGTCTCAAGGAACATGTTTACAAGGTCAGGTCAGAACCAGCAGTGAACTGCTGCCCAGAGTTCCTTAAATTCTTCCAAACCAGTGTGGCAGAGACAGTTAGTAGTTGAACAAAGAGGCCATGTACCTCCACAAATCTAGCCTCCCTTGCAGCTGGACGGGGACCATGGACTGTTTTTAGCCTGTGAGGGCAAGTGGAGATCATGGAAGCCACACATCTTGTTGCTGCTGAGGGGAGGCCCACTAGATACCTACTGAGAACAGGCTTGTTGTGGCTCCTTGTCCCCTCATCCAATTCAGTGAAGTACTGGACACAGCATGACCTTCTGACATGAGGACTTAATGTCTACCTGGGAAATGCCTTGGAGCACAAGGGTATACCTTGCTGCAAAGGGGCTGTCTCCTAGAAGAAAAAAAGAGCAAAGAATTGTCTCCTCATAAAACCAACGCTCTCTGCACATTATAACTTCTTGTTTTGTTGAGAAACACCTGAGAACTGGATAAAAGTAGGGAATTTCTATAGGATATAAATGTAAACATATATAAATATATCAAAATTACATAATGTAAATAGATTAATGTGGATGTTAGCAGATTTACATAGGTATAGATTTACATTGCCTAACCCATTTCGTCCTCTCAACAACTAACTGAGGCAGGTGCAATTATGATGCTCATTTTACAGATGAGGAAACTGTGGCACAGTTTCTGTAAGTAACCTGGGAGACAGTTAACCCTGGAGTAGAAAATCCAATATGTTAAGAGGAAGCTAAGGCCATGCTGGGGTGAGGCCCTCACTTCATCCGGCGACTACACTGTGCCCAGCAGCGCCAGCCCAACACTCGCACGCCCTTCTCGGAGCTCGCCTGTATCTACTCGGCCCTCATCCTGCTCCAGGATGAGGTGATGGTCACACGGAGGATAAGAGCAACGCCCTCATTACTTTAATTTACTTTGGAGCCGGGGTAAGTGTTGAACCTTTCGGGCCGGGCTTGTTTGCAAAGGCCCCGGCCAATGTCAACATCGGGAGCCCCATCTGCAATGTAGGGGCTGGTGGACCTGCCCCAGCAGCTGGACCTGGTCCCCTCCCCTTCCCCCACAGCACAGCTGCCCCAGGCGAGGAGAAGGAGGTGGAAGCAAAGAAGAATCAGAGGAGGCTGATGATGACATGGGCTTTGGTCTTTCCAACTAAACCTCTTCTGTAACCTGTTCAATAAAAAGCTGAACTCTTAAAAAAAAAGATAAAGAAAAACCACTACATTAGAAATGACATTTTAATAGATAGTTAAGAAACTATTTAATTTAGTAATTTAAGAAAAATTACTATTGAATATTAATATACCTATTACCATAATTTAAACATATTAAATGTTTGAATACAGTCTCAAGGAACATGTTTACAAGGTCAGGTCACATTTTTTTTTTTAATGTAGGTTCACGCTCAGCACAGAGCCCAGTGTGGGGCTTGAACCCATGACCCTAAGATCAAGACCTGAGCTGAAATCAAGAGTTGGACACTTACCTGACTAAGCCACCCAGGTGACCCTGTATTTTATATATTTTTAAAATTAAAATTAACCATTTAAAAATGCATTTAGGGGGCACCTGGGTGGTTCAGTCTGTTAAGCGTCTGCTTTTGGCTCGAGTGATGATCTCAGGGTCCTGGGATCAAGTCCCACAACAGGCTTCCTGCTTAGTGGGGAGTCTGCTTCTCCCTCTGCCCCTCCCCTGCTCATGCTCTCTCTCTCAAATAAATAAATAAAATCTTTAAAAATAAATTAATTTTTAAAAATGCATTTAGTACATTCACAAGTTGTGCAACCAACACTTTTATGTATGTAGTTTTAAAATATTTTTATCACCCCAAAAAGAAACATCCTTGCCATTAAGCAGCTGCTCTCCATATTCCCAGTCCTCCATCCCCCAGTCCTAAGCAACCACTCAGCTACTTTCTGTCTCTATAGATCTCACTATTTTGATATATTTATTCTAGATACTTCATCTAAATGGAATCGTATAATCGGTGACCTTTTGGGTCTGCCTTCTTTCACATTAGCGTGTTTCTGAGGTTCATCTTGTAGCATGTATCAATGCTTCATTCCCTGGAATGGCTGACTCATCTCCATTGTAAATATACATTACTATCTGTTCATCCTTTCATCTATTGGTGGACATCTGTGCTCCTTCACCTTTTCGCTGCTGTGAAGAGTGCTGCTAGGGATACTCTTACACATGCATTTGTTGGAGTGTCTCTTTTCCACTCTTTCAGGTATCTACCTAGGAGAGGACTTACTGGGTCATACAGTGATTCTATGTTTAACTTTTACAGGAACCCCCACAATGAATTCCACAGTGGCTGAATCACAGCAAATTCCACAGTGGTTGAATCATTTTATATTCTCACTAGCAATGTACAAAGGTTCCAATTTCTCCATATCTTAACCAACTCTTGTTATTCCTGGTGTGGTTTTTTGGTTTTTTGGTTTTTTGGTTTTTAGTACTGCCATCTTGGTGGATGTGAAGTGGCATCTCATTGTGATTTTGATATGCGTTTCTCTAATGATAAATGATGTGGAGTATCTTTTCCTGGGCCACTGGCTATTTGTATATCTTCTTTGAAGAAATGTCTATTCAAGTAACTTTACTCATTTTAAAGTTTCTTTGTCTTTTGTTGTTGTTGTTGTTATAAGAGTTCTTTATATACTTGCAAACATTTTCTCCCATTCTGTAGGTTATTTTGTTATATTAAAGCTGAGTTTCTAAGTCTCTTACTCAAAGAGACTTCCTAGGATATTAAAAAGTTTGCTTTAATATTTATAAATACTGTTATACCCTTGACACTATAGATGTTTGCTATGGAAATATTTGTTATTGAAATTTGTTATTAAACTTTGTAGTTTGTAGTAGAAAAAATTAACAAGTATTTACTAAGCATCTGCTATGTCTATGTCTCTTGTCCTCAATGTATTTTAATTTACTTTGGAGCAAAAGACTTTTACTATGGACATGGCTACAGCATGCACAATCCAGTGTGGTGTAAAGTGCTGGAATGAGAGTCAGCTTCATGGCCTGTCGAGCCCAGACAAGGGCTTTACTTCTGCGTCTTGGTTTTCCCCATCTGTAGCACAGGGCTGGTAGTAACTGCTTTGACTTTCTCCTAGGGCTGTGAGGATCAGATAAGTGAGAATCTGCACCAAGGAATTCGAGAGCTCTTTGGGATCCCCCTGTTCACCCCAACACACACATGCACACACACAAAAGCGCTTCGTAAACTTCATCCACTGTACTGATGTTGTCCTGGGCAAACCAGGTCGGATGGTGTCCTCCTCACAGCATTCCTGGAGTGTTTTCTAAAACACAAGTCTGACTGTGTTACTCTGTCCGCTAAAGCCCTACAGTGGCTCCCTCTCTTCAAAGAGAGACTTGGTGATGTGACTCTTCAGCCTCTCCTCTGACTGACGCCCAGGGCCCCAGGCCGGGCTGTGCCAACCTGGGTTTCCGGTCTGCACCACCCTCCGTGACTCCTCAGAACACCTGTACATGCTGTTCCACCAGCATTCAGAAGGCTGGATGTGCTTCTGAGTCATGGGATCTGACAACCGTAAGCAGGCGTGGGTCCTGCGAAGGCCTCCATCTCAGAGGCGTGATGGAGAGGAGATCACTCTGCTTCTGAAGACTAGTGTGGATGGCGCAACTCTGCCCCCAGTAGCCGTGTGACCTTGGGCCAGCCTCCCTGGGCCTCAGCTTTCTCATCTGTGATTCAGGGGAGCTCAGAGTCCCTTTCAGTCTAGGACTTGGCATTTCCTCTATGAACAAGTACTTATTTTTAGCTTTACTGAGGTATAATTGACAAAATGGTAATATATTTAAAGTATACAGCATGATGATTCCACACATGTACACCCTGTGTCGAGGTAATTAATGTAACCATCTCACATATTTATCCTTTTTGTGTGTGTGAGAATACTTCAGTTCTACTCTCTTAGCAATTTCAGTTACACAGTACAGTCACCATGTTATGCATTAGATCAGATCCTTATAACTGAAAGTTCGTACCCTTTTACTGACTTTTCCCTATTTCCCGCACTCCTAGGCAACCACCATTCTACTTTGTTTCTGTGTGTTCACCTTCTTTTTATTTTAAGATTCCACATGTAAGTTTGCCACATGTAGCATTTGTATGAATAAGTATTTTTTGTTGAATTACAGCTGACCCTTCTTGAACAGCACAGGTTTGAACTGCGCAAGTCCACTTCTATGTGAATTAAAAAAAAAAATACAATACTGTAAATGTGTTTTCTCTTCCTTATGATTTTCTTTTCTTTTTTTTTTTTTAAAGATTTTATTCATTCGACAGAGAGAGACACAGCGAGAGAGGGAACACAAGCAGGGGGAGTGGGAGAGGGAGAAGCAAGCTTCCCGCGGAGCAGGGAGCCCGATGCGGGGCTCGATCCCAGAACCCTGGGATCATGACCTGCGCCGAAGGCAGACGCTTAACGACTGAGCCACCCAGGTGCCCCCCCCTTATGATTTTCTTAATAACCTTTTTTTCTCTAGTTTATTGTAATAACACAGTGAATATATATAGCATACAAAATATGTGTTAATCAACTGTTCCTATTATCGGTAAGGCTTCCAGTCAACAGTAGGCTATTTTGGTAGTCAAGTTTCTGGGAAGTGAAAAGTATACAAGGATTTTTAACTGCTTGGGGGTCGGTGCCCCTAACCACCACCTTGTTCCTTCAAGGGCTAGCTGTACATTGAAATCAGTGGTACTTAACAATAGTCATTATTCATTGATATTTACTATTTCAGGCTCTATTCAACTACATTATTTTTTTAAAAGATTTATTTATTTATTTTAGAGAGAGAGAGTGCGGGGGGTGGGGGGACAGAAGGAGAGAGAGAGAATCTCAAGCAGACTACCCCCTGAGCACAGAGCCTGACATAGGGCTTGATCTCATGACCCTGAGATCGTGACCTGAGCCAAAATCAAGAGTTGGACACTCAGCCACCTGTGCCAACAGATGCCCCTCAACTATGTTATTTGGAATCTTTGTAACAAGCAGCCTCCCTGGGTCATACAGCCAGAGATGGGGGAGGTGGCTAGGCTTCAAACCCAGACAGTCCGACTCCAAAGCTCAAAGTTTTTCCCTTCAAGTATCTTCCTCCAGGACAATTTCAATGATTTTCTCCTCCCTGAGTCTGTCTCCACGCCCCAACTTATTGGCCCAGAAACAATGGACTATTTCTCCACTCCAGCTTTCTAAGAGCTTCCAGAGCCTATTGTGTGTCCCTCCCAGAGAAGGATCTGGGAGTCCCCTGCACGTTGCCACCGAGAAAAGACTCCACCTCCCCATCCCCCCACTCCCACAGCTGTCTGAGCTCATCTGAGAAGAGCAATAACAATATCATATGACACTTACATAACAATGAGCAATTGATCCCAGCAATCCCATAAGTCAAGTGAGGATTGATTTTATGGATGAGGAGACTGAGGCTCAGGAGTTCCCCTGCCCATGACCACATACTTGGCTCCAAGTACATTGCTTCCCCCCTGAGCCTTTGACACACCATGTTGAACTAGAGTTTGGGGAAATCTCTCAGGGACACACCTTCCTAAGTTTCTCCTTGTGGTCAGTGAAGAGAAAGGGGTATCTCAGGCCACTTTGAGCTACACACACAAGTGCCACCCAAATGGAAACCTGTCTTGACCCTAAAGAATCAATCGGTGGTCCACCTTTGGTGAAGCTATTTTCGGGTCCCCATCAGGGTTCTCAGATTCTGTTACACAGGCTTCCTCCTGTGCCCCCTGAGCTTGACAGTACCTTAGAATACCCCTGACACCCTCAGTGACTGATGTTCACCAGATGCTGCTCGGGCCTCGTGTTCTTACACGGGGATGACAGAAAAAAATACACCATTACCCACTGGGAACTGACTGATAGTTCACAGTGCTGATTACTCTTCCCCATACGGGGGAGAGGAGGAATTTCAGTGGAGCGGTGTGGAGACTTTGGTTGGTTGACTGGTTTTGATTTGTTGGTCACTTGTCTGGCTTTGGATTATCTGATGCTTACCCTTCCTGTCTTAATCACCCCTATTTCTTTTTCTAATCCATGCGTCCCCCAGAGAAAGAAGTGTAAACATGTGAGGTTGTGGTTTTCAGCAAATTTGTCAGGAATCCATGCCAAACCAGGTTTCGCCTGAAAACCAGTCTGGCACGGAGAACAACTGAAGGAGATAGGGTTACATTTCTTGTAAACCAACAGCTTGATTTTCATTTTGGCACATTGCGGATTTTGTTGTTATCGTTATTGTTGTTGTTGTGGGCTGAGGAATAGGCTTATTTTCCATAGCTGGATTTATGGCTTAATGTAGCTTCTTGAAGCTTGCTGAATAAATTCTATTCAATTTACACTCACAGCCATTAAGAATTTGAGCAATCCATTCTCCTCTCAGAGTGATCTTTCTAAATTGCAAATGTGATTGTGATACTCCTTGTTTGGGATATTCTGGTCAAAAATTACTTTGCAGACTTATTGATTGGGCTGATATTATCTGGTATTCCTACAGCACTAAGACATAGCTGGCCACTGTTTTGACTGGTTTAGATCCAAACCATACAGGTCATTAAATATTTTGAGTATCATACCTCCTTATTAACCTTTACTTCTCCCCTTACCCTGATGGCATTAAGTCAAGCCATTCCAGAAAATACCTCATGCCTTGAATAAACCAAGATCTCTCATCTTCTCATAATTTTGCCTTGGAGACCCCTAGCCTTCCCTAATTCCTCTCATCCTTCAGTGACCTCAGGTCTGTGAGCCCTTCCCTCACCTGTCCTCTCTCCCTTTTCCACCACACACACTGCCATTCTGTCCTCTCCAATTCCATAACACCAATGCCACTAATATATATAATGCCAGTGACTGTATAACACCAATGACTTAAGAGACACAGTTTTTTCACTACAGGGGAAAAATATGCCAAGAGGCAAGTTAATACCACCATCAAGAGGCAAATAGGACAGTAGGTCCTTCCCATAAGAGAGTCACAGAATCTCAGAGTTGGAAGGGATCTAAGGGCCCTCCCCACCCCCTTGGGCAGTATCCTTGATAGATGTTTTTTCAGCTTCCAATCAAGTACTTCCAGAGATGGAGCAGTCAGTGGTTTTTAGAAAGTTTTTCTTTACATTGAGCGAAAGTTGACCTCACACTCAACACTACTTGTATGCCCTTGGTCTGCCTTCTGGAGATGCAGAATAAGTGTACTCCCCAGTCTGCTTGATGGCCCTTCGGATACTTGAGGAGGGCACTCCTCTGCTCTCTCTCCTTCAGAAAAAGACTGGGGTTCCGGAATCATTCTTTCAGGCATGCTTGCAAGAAAATCATGCCTTGACCGCCCCATAAGCCAAATGTACCCATTATGTTATTTTCCAAGTGCTTGTCACCAGGCTGTTGTTTGGGGGAACAGAAATACATTTTATCCCAGAGTTGATTAATTTAAGCATAGCGGTACACTCCCTTAAATATAAGGTTACAAATGAAGAAAATAAAAACCAAAAATAACAGGAGGTATTTCTTAGAGACAGGAAAAGCTCCATACATTCTGTGATAAATCTAGCAGATTAAGTTTAGCGGCAGCTCCTTATTTGTGAAATTCTATGCCTGCTTCTAGAAAAGAGACAAAGAGGCAGCCAAAAGATAAGGCCCGCACATCTCTCGGAGTTCACGCATGCACACTTGCTTAATTTAGGAAAATTCCTAGGAGGGGCCACTGTGGGGAGCTGGAGACCACTCTGAAAGGAAACCTAATTCCAGTAAAATTAAGTATGCATGTGATGGAAGCAGGCTGGGGACTCTCTGAATCTGTTTTGGAAAATGATCCTGGAATTTTTCTCTAAGAATCTACTCACGATAACGATGTTTTCAAGTATAGTTTAAATGCAGTTTTGCCCAGAGGCAAAGCAATGTATTCAAACACCCTGCAAGCTCCCTCTAGAGGTTCAAGTGTGCAGCCGCCAGCAGAGCTCCTGGGCCTAGAAGCCTGCCCCAGTGTGCAGAGAGGAATCAAGAGACTTACAAGAAGTTACTGTTTTTTTCTGTTAATTAGAGCCAAATCTGTTGGCTGAAAAAAATAAATTAGAGAACACAACAAAACATCACCATTCTCCAAATAAAGCAAGGCTGGGATCAAATATGTCGTGAATATACATTCACATAGAAGAGGTAGTAACTGGTAATATCCTAAAATTTCAAATCAGGTAATAGGCTGATGATTGACGGTGCAATGAAGAAAGTAAAAGTTCTTGATGCCTCCTAGCTGTGCTAACTTCTAAAAAGGCATGCATCTTCTGGGGAATGGATGCCATAATCAACATGATCATCATTATAGCTACCAGTTGTTGAGCACTTTTTATGTGCTAGGCACCATGCTAAAAACTTTACTCACATTTTCTCATGTAATCTTTGCAAGCCCCCTTTTAGATACATACTATATGAGCACCATTTACAGATCAGGAAGCAGGGACTTACAGGAGTTCAATCCTTTCTACAAGTGCATGCAGTTCATATGTGATGTTAGGACTCAAACTCTGATCTGTGCTTTTAAACATAATAAAACAGTGTTTTCTCATCAGAGGAAACTGGACTCTGCAAGATGAATGACTAGTTCTGAACACCCAACAAGCAAATGGTGCCATTAATGAGAGGTATGTTTTTTTGTTGTTTTTTTTTTTAAGATTTTTTATTTACTTATTTGAGAGAGAGAGAATGAGAGACAGAGAGCACGAGAGGGAAGAGGGCAAGGGAGAAGCAGACCCCCTGCTGAGCAGGGAGCCCGATGTGGGAGCTGAAGGCAGTTGCTTAACCAACTGAGCCACCCAGGCGCCCGAGAGGTATGTTTGAGAGTGTACATATGATGCCTGGTCCATCCTGGATTTTCAGTGAAAACCTTCGCCTTTAAAATGACCGCCAATCTGACTACCTGTGTCCTGAGTGTGTCCTTCCAGAACACAGAGACCCCTGGGAGGCAGTCCATGCAATTTGATTTTTATATCCTGTCACCTAGACTGGTATGCTCCTTATACTGGGTGCATGAGTCGAAGAATGATTGAATGACACTGGCTGTCTTCTAAGAGCTTACAATCTGCTAGCAATGTTCAAGATCTGCACACACACAGACACACACACAGCCCAGTATAATTATTAGTAGAAGTAAGTTAAAATATGTTAAAGTTATATACCAGCAATTTCACATTCTTTGTTTTACATGTAGCCAGAAAAACTTGCCCACGTACAAGGAGACATGTACCAGAATGTTGACTGCAAAATTGTTTCTAATAGAAAAAATTGGGAACAACTAAATAGTTCTCAACAGAGGCCTGGAGAAGTACATTTCAGTTTACTGATATAATGGAATGTTATACTTAGTGATTAAAATAAATGGTCTGAAACTGTATTACATGGATAACTCTTGAAGCACAATAAGTAGAAAATATAATGATAATAATAGCTAACATTTATTTAACACTTAAGTGCCAGGTAGAACTTTATGGGCTTTGCATGTATTAACTCATTTCATCCTCACAACAAACTTTTGAAAGGTAGATATTATCACCAAACCCATCTTAGAAATGAGGAAGTTGAAAGATACCTACTTCGACATAATTGCAAAGATGTTTAAAGATATGCAAAAGACTATAATTTAAGAATACATCCAGGGGCACCTGGGTGGCTCAGTCGGTTAAGGGGCTGCCTTCAGCTCAGGTCATGATCCCAGGGTCCTGGGATGGAGCCCCACTCGGGCTCCTTCCTCAGCGGGGAGCCTGCTTCTCCCTCTCCCTCTGCTTGGCACTCCACCTGCTTGTGCTCTCCCTCTCTCTATCTCTATCAAATAAATAAATAAAATCTTTAAAAAAAAAAAAGAATACATCCATATGTATTAAAAGTATTAAAACATGCATGGGAATCATTAAATACCAAAATTATGATGGTGATTACCTTAGGGGTGGTGACAGGGAGAGGGCCATGATCCAGGAGGGAATTAGAGAGGACATCAAATGTATTTATAATGTTTCATGTAATGACTGCCACATATTCTTTATATTTATACTTTTACTATGTCTAAAATATTTCATAATAAAAAAATGACCAATAAGCAGAAACGAAATACCTAAATATTAAATAGGCTCAAGGTAAAGAAACATTGTTCCTGATTTTGCACAAAGAAATAAGCATTTATTTATTCATATATATTTTAAGATTTATTTATTTGAGAGAGAGAGAGAAGGGGGGAGGGGCAGAGGGAGACGGAGAGAGAGTCTTAAGCAGACTCCACTCTGAGCATGGAGCCTGACGTGGGGGCTGGGATGCGGAAGTCTGTGTTGACGGGCATGAATAACTACTGACCGAGTGTCTGCTTTTGACTTTGGGAAGAGGTGATGGGGACTCAACCGCAACTCAAAACCCAGACAGTGACAACAGGGCCTAAGTGCTTCGCTGACCATAACTGAACCTACCGTTGGGCAGAAAGGCCAGGGCACAATGGAAGACTTCAGGCAGTCCAGTTTTAAGGCAGCTGTGGCTCTGGGTCCAGACAGCCCCCAAGTCCAGTATCGCCCTAGGCCAGATGACACTGTCCTGAACTTGGGCCGCAGACTCTTCACTCCCCACCCCCACCCCTACCCCTGCCTCCACCCATCCCTCTACCTCCTGTACCTATGGGGACTCCCCCTTGCTCACCTATTCTCACTGGCTGTTCAACTGCTTGGGTTCTGGATCAGAAAATCTGGGACAGCATAACTTACAGCCTTAGGCCACTTTGCCAGAGTCTCTGGGGACAAAAGCTGGTTTCCCAAGTGCACAAAGAGAAGTAGTTGCTCCAAAAACACTTGTTTGACTGATAGAAATGAGTATTTGGTTGGTGCTGCATTAAAAGGAAGGCATTGCCTTGTCATGCAATGGAAAGCTAGAAGTTAAGTCTGAAGATGGAGCCGTGAATGTTGGCTCTTCCTCTGCTTCTACGTGTCTGATCTCAGACAAGTACTCAGCTTCTCCTAACCTCAATTTTCTCCTCTGCAAAACAGGGGCCACACAACCATCACCTAAAGGGTCATTGTGAGGAGCAAAGACGACCCTTTAGGTGATGGTTGTGGTGGCCGCTGGGTGTTCACTATGTACCTAGCTCTGTGCTTGGGACTTTGATACAGAATCTCATCTAAACTTCTCAGCACCTCTGAGAAGGAACTGGGGAACAGAGAGCTTAAGTAATTTGCCCCAGTCTTATAGCTCATAAATTGTGGATCTGGGATTCAAACTCAGATCTGCCTGGCTCTGAAGACTTAGAGCACTAGAGGCTGCAAAGTGCTTTGAAAATGTTATTTCTACTACCCGTGTAGAAGTTGCAAACTCATTTCAATCAAGTTAAAACATCCTCTCTTAAACTGGCCTGATTGGGGATTAATTTAGATCCAAAACACACAGGCTGGATTACATCCTTGCCATGAGTCTAAGACCCCTTTTGCTCCACACGAGCAGACTAGAGACCTGTGTTCCTTTCTGTCTGGACACTCAGTGAGCCAGGCTGGACATGAAGGGGTCCCCAAAGCGAGAACAACCTTCCCTGGGGAACCCAGGTCTCCCAATCCCCAAGGTGGTGCTCTTACACTGGACCTCAATTCTTTGTCTTCACAGCTTCTTGGCAATGGTCACCAATGAGGTGCCTAAGGATTTATTTTGTAGTCTCTAAAAGCTAGGTCCTCAAACCCAAACATTCACTTCACTTGCCAACCCTGAATTAAGTGCTCTGGAAATTAAGGTTTTCAATAGCTTCTCTGTATCCCCTAACCTAGGAACAGTTCAAGCTGCTTCTTTTATACTGGCATTATCCTTAATATTGTATTAAATACTAAGTGTTTGGTGTTCCCAATTCTGTAGCATTTACCACTTCAAATAAATTAATGAGCTACTTCTTCATATAATGTCCAAAATCTTAAATCATGTCACATGTGGCCACAAGAGAACTTTTAGGATTTTTGGCTGTAAGAATACATCCACTCTGGCAGAAGCACATTCTTTTTTTTTATGTGATCCAGCTTGAAAAACCAAGAGCTATAGCCTTCAGCTGGAGGTCCTTTTGGGACACGTTTTTCTGACCTTCATAAATCTAAGCTGGAATTTATATACTCTTCTCCCACACGAATAGACATTAGTGAGCTTCTGGCCACCTTTAGACCCCACACATAATTTTCAGAGTCACAGTTTCAGAAGCTATAGCCTCTGGATAATCGGAATCACCATGTTTTAGAGTTGAAGGTTGCTCTAGCATTCTCAGATTCCTGGTGAATAAAAATTAACAGTTCAATCACAAGCCATTATATTAAAGACCATTCATTGGGTACCTACTATGTGCCATGCACTGTTCTTCATTTTCTTTTTAATTTTTTAAGAAAGATTTTATTTATTTATTTGTCAGAGAGTGAGCGAGCACAAGCAGGGGGAGCGGCAGGCAGAGGGAGAAGCAGGCTCCCCACTGAGCAGGGAGTCCGATGTGGGACTCCATCGCAGGACTCTGGGATCATGACCTGAGCCGAAGGCAGATGCTCAACCGACTGAGCCACCCAGGTGTCCCTTTTTTTAATTTAATAAAAAATTTTAAAGTAATCTCTACACCCAATGTGGGGCTTAACTCATGACCCCAAGATCAAGAGTCGCACGTTCTTCGCCCTGAGCCAGCCAGACGCCCCATGCTCTGCACTATTCTAAGCACTTTATAGGTATAACTTATTTTGTCCTCTCCCAAATCTCATAAGGTAGATAGATACTGTTATTATTCCCACTTTATAGATGATGAAACAGAGGCAGAGATTAAAATCATCTGCCAAGGTTCAAATCTAAGCTGTGGGACTCCCCCTGACCACTCCTTTATCTCTTGACTCAAGATCACAGAGCTCGTAAGTGTTCACCTCTGTCTCAGTCTAATTTCAGGTGACTACAGGGATGCACTTTGCCTCTGGAGGGCTGTCAAGATATAGGAGTGCGTGTATAGGGTGCTGACAGTGGTGTGAGGTGGGTGGGGGCAGAGCACCTCCTGCTTCTTCCCAACTCCCCATCCTCAGAGAATGTTAGCATTCCAACCTTGGGCGTTCGGTGGCTCGGGGGTTAGAGACAGTACGAGGCCTAACTCATGCATCTGGTTCTCAAGGATTCTTCCTTTAAATAAATAAATAAATAAATAAATAAATAAATAAATAAATAAATAAATAAATATTTTAACAAAGGAAAATGTAAACATCCTAATTGCATGGAATGTATGGAAAAGTAGAAGGAAGTAAAACTTACTCATGATCCTACCACCCAACAACCACTGTTGACATTTTGGTCTATTTTCCTGCAGTCATTTTTGGACAATGCGTACATCATTAGCTGTGACAGTGATAAATATACAATATTGTGTCTAGCTTTTTCCGCTATATTCTGTCTATAGTAATATTTACCTTTTAGAAACATCATTTTAAAATATATATATATGTATAAAATGTATGTTATACCATTGTGGGGATATGCTACAATTTACATAAATATTCCTGTTGTCAGGAATTTATGTTATTTTTTTTTAAGATTTTATTTATTTACTGGACAGAGAAAGAAACACAGCAAGAGAGGGACACAAGCAGAGGGAGTGGGAGAGAGAGAACCAGGCTTCCCGTCGAGCAGGGAGCCTGATGTGGGGCTCGATCCCAGGACCTTGGGATCATGACCTGAGCCGAAGGCAGACACTTAACGACTAAGCTACCCAGGCGCCCTCATTTATGTTATTTTTTAAACATTTTATTATCGTAAGTAGCACTAAAGAAACTTCTTTTTTTTTTTAAATAAAATGTTTGCCATATTTAGGCATACTTCTCTTGGAAGAATTTCCAACATGAAAATATTGGAACGTCTCTTCACCTGAACATTAGGAGTTCATTAGGAATTTCTCCACACTGACATTAATTATCAAGCTGTCAACTGTCAATATGGAAATAAGTAAGTCATCATGTGATTTCTCATTATGTTACAAACTTAAATGAACCTCTGCCTTTTTGTGTTTTTCCAAACCATGCTACGGTTGTAGTTGATTCTCAGGTAGAATGGCAAACAGAAATATTCTGCTCATCTATAACATAGGCATGACTGAAAGTGATACAAGATCAGGAAATGCTTAAAAACAAGGATTCTACCTCTGCGATATTCTTTAAGAAAACTGATAACCCCAGTCTAATCATGAGAAAACATTAAACAAACCCAGTTTGGGGGGCTGGGTATTCTACAGGATACCTGGCTAGTATTTCTCAGGACTGCCAAGGTCGTAAAAACAAAGACTGAGAAACTATCCAGACCAGGCAGATTAGGGGGACATGGCAACCCAATGCAACGTGGTTCCCTGGGCTTGGATCCTGGAATAAAAAAAGGGCCTTAGTGGAAAAACTGATGAAATCCGAATACAATCTGGAGTTTAGTTAATAGCAATGTACCAACATCCGTTTCTTATTTTTAACAAATGATCTTGGAAATGTACATGCCAGCCTGGGGAAAACTGGGTGAGGGGTATACATGAACTCTCTGTATTTTCTTTGTAACTTTTTTGTATATCTAAAATATTTCAAAATAACAGTCTGGGTTTTTGCTTTGTTTTGTTTTGTTTTTTAGAGAGATGAAGACAAGGGTTTTGGAGCCAGCCTGATTTGGTTTTGAGTCCTGGATCTGGCATTTGTGCCAGCTGAGTGACCTTGAAAAATTATTTCTTTGAGTGTTAGTACATCTACTTTATATGAAGAAAATTATCTACCGCAGGGGGTTGTAGGTCTTAGCTACAGTAGATAAAGCATTTAGCATTATTCCAGGTACGAGGTAAGTGCTTGATAAATGTAAGCCATAGGATTATTTTGATTAGTTCGAGGGTTCTTCATTCCAATTCTTAGTTCCCTTTAAGGTAAGAAGGAATTTTTATGCATAGCTATGTAAAAAGTGGGAAATTAAATAGCCTCATTAAAATTTCAAACTCAACACGAAGGAGACAAACTGTTATGTGAATCTGGAAACAGTAACTGGTGTGGGCTTTTGGATCATTGCTCTTGTTTTCTATGTACCTATTGGGTCGTTTCCTAAGGATAGGTGTAGTGAGAAGATGCAAGGTTTTGAAATGAGACTACATTCTAGCACTGATTGCCCAAAATAACCAACTTACAAATGCCCATTGTAAGACATGGGAATTCTTTCATTTGAATTGCTTAGAAAAACAATCTTGTAGAGAATTGAAAATGGTCTGTGCTTGGCCTCTACCCAAAGGCAAATTATTTTAGTATGAAAGTCTAAGAAAATAATTTAACCACAAGCTATGTGAGTAGGAAAGGAAAAATAACCAAAGGATAAAGAAAAATACACTCTGGCTCTATCATATATAAAATTTCTTTTTTGGGTGCTAAACTGCAACACAGATGTGAAACTTGATCTACAAGTAGGGTCCAAACAACAGAAAGAAAATAAATAATCCAAGACCTAAAAAATATTCTGAGATGACATTAAACTTCAGTGAAAGACTAAGTATGGGCATAACCAAAGCTTGTTATTCAACACCACTGGTCCTAGACTTCAGGCTAGGACCTGAATTCAAATCCACTTACAAGAGGTAGGGTCATAAATAACCTAACTAGCTTCAGGTTCCTCACTCTAGAAATTGTGATAAGAATATCTACATCACAAGATTCTTTATGAAACAATATAAGGGGTGAGATAGCGTGAAAAATGCTTTGCACAGAGCTTACATATAAGAGACAAAGAATAAATATTAGCCAGATCTAAATTTGAACATACACAACACTGACCTGATCACATTTTTGACCTTGTTTCTAATGTGAAGGAATCTGCAACCTTGTTGGTGAAAAAACTATTTATATGAAAAATTATAGAATACTGAAACTGCATAATAGAGTGTTAAATTGAGTGTTAAAAATATGGTACCAACTAATGTCAGCTTTCTTTTAGTTGCCAAATTTGACCTTACTTTTCAACATGGTATCTTTGGGAAGTGGAGAGAAGTTAAGAGCTTGGATCAAATACTGTACATTAATTAGGGCAGCAAATGTATCCCTTTGGTGTAAGCCTGATTGGCTGACTAATACTCTACCAACTTTGAGATTCACAATAATTCATAACAGCATATCCAGGGAATGAGCTCTTTCATTTAAGTAAATTTTCCAGTATAATTAATTACGCCTTCTTAAATGCTAAAACTTCAATATCTCTGAACAAAATTAAAATTATTTACATTATCCGTTTCACACTCCAGACTACAAGCACATATCTTCCTTTAAATCTCTAGCAGTAAGCACAGTGCCCAGCACCTACTAGGCGTTCACTAAACGTCCTACTGAACTGCAGTGTATGATACATATTCTTATCTTCTTAAGTAGTGTTTGATGAATATGAGTCAACCTTATCTTTACAACTCCAATCATTATTCTCAATGCAATAAATGCATAACATTTCATGTGAGTGAAGTCCTCTGGGGCTATTTGCCTTCATAAAATGGTCTCAGACATGTGATCTAATTTTTCCAGCTTATTTTTAAGTTTTCCATCTCCTCTCTTGGTATCAAGGGGTCAGTGATCACTGCTAGCTCATCTCACATTGCCACCTTTTAGGATCTTCCCTTTTCTAAAATGTTGTAAGCTGGGAAACCAGAGAGCTTGTTTGTCGAGATGCTATCAAAACTAAGGGCCAACAGGGCTCTATGCAAGGGACTCTAGGGCCGCCCTCAGAATAAATCATGTGTTGTGTTGTATGGACTCTTTGGTTGCTTGGAGACTTAGCTTGCATTTATTCATTAAAAAAAAAATGTATTTAGTGTCTTTTTCTGTGCCAGTCACTCTTTTAGGTGCAACATCAATGAAAAAAATTGATACAAAAGTCTCTACCCCTTTTAAAGGATATTTCAGTTGGGAGACATATAATAAACAATAAACATAATAAGTTAACAAAGAGGTATTTCTTAGCAATGAGTGCTAAGAAAAAAAGTCAAATGTGATATGGAAGATCTAGAGTGAGACATGACAGGTAGAGCAGGTCACTGTCTTAAAAAGGTTTGTCAAAGTTGGCCTGTGAGGAGGACCTGAAGGGGGGGGAGGGGGTTTGCCAAGCAAACTGAAGGAACCAGGTTCCACGCTGAGGACAAAGCCCAGCAAAGCCCATAAAGCCAGAATAGAGAAGAGCCAGGAGGCCGGGTGACCAGGTGGCATGAGCAAGAGAAAGGCCAGGAGGAGATGAGACTGCCCTGCTGAGAGGACAACCAGGTAGGCCCTCATGAGCCATTGGATTTTCCTTGTGAGGCAGAGGCCACAGCTCCATTTTACAGATGAGCCAATTCAAGATCAGAGAGTTGAAGCATCAGTTTATGGCATCAGTGACCACCGTTAGCTGTCATCATATTGTCTCCTTATAGGGTCTTCTCCTTTCTAGTGTATTAGAATATACATCTTCTCCTTTCTAATACGTCAGGCTTTATGCAAGAGAATTCAGAGCTAGTGTATGAACTCTGACCACTGGATTACAGAGGCACTCCTCTTTCCATCATGCCATACAGTTGCAGGGGGAACTTCAATCAGGTGTAAGTGAACAATCATTTAAGGAGGTTGATCACACGCTTCATTTGCGTATTTACTCTCCTGATTACAAAGGAAGAGGTCACCTTCTAGGCATCTCTACCAGGTAATTCACATTGAGGAGTTAGTTTCAGCTACTTCTGTGTCTTCACATAATACATTTTTTTTCTGGTCAAATATTTTATAATTCAGACATTTGACTAATTCAGCCAATCTCTCTGCCCTCCAGGGCCTTAGTCCAATTTCCTGAGGCTTTACATAATGGGCTCCATCTGACCCAGGGCCACTTGTCTTAGTACATTTTCCCATCAGAGTGTGAGGTTTCTCAGGCCTTGCAATTGGTTAAATAATGGAACACAGCCCAAGCTCCGGACTAGGCCTCCTCAGAAATAAGGTCTGGGTTGGGATCCAGGACATAGTTGATGTCAAGGGAACCCTTCCAGACCTCACAAAGAAGTGTCCAGAACCAAAATGTTTCTGTTTTGAGTCCAGATCAGAATATCAAAACCTACCTACTCATGCCAATTCCAAATTTCTCCAAAATAGCTTTGGGAAGATTGTTTGCCTGCTTAAAATATTCATTTCCCATCCTGACACAATGTTCCTTGAGGTTAATAAAAGGAGCAAAATCACTATTTTCAACAAGTTCAACCCAGTGCCAATGGGGGGAAAAAAACCAATGTTTTTATTGGCACAGAATTCATGGAACTTAAAACAATAAAGGTCAACTGTACCATATTTTTAAAACTTTTTTTCTCCTTAGACTTGCTAATTTGTAAGATCGGCCTTAGAATTCTTAAACAAAAACGTAAAACTTTGAATTATTTACAACTGGTCTAAGAATTTCTCTTAAGTAATCAACAGGCGAGGCCTGGTTTCAACACTTAAGAAAGTTTTTATTTATATTTTTTCCCTAAAATACTTTAAAATTCAGGGTTTTCCTTTTTCAAAAAAACATTTACTTAAAGATTTTTATTTATTTATTTGAGAGAGAGAGAGTGCGCACGAGCAGGCGGAGGGGCAGAGGGAGAGGGAGAAGCAGGGAAGCCTGATGATCATGACCTGAGCAGAAGGCAGATGCTTAACCAACTGAGCCACCCAGGCACCCCTCCTTTTTTTTTTTTAAATAGTAAATCCTCAAACTTTAAACTTGTCTTTATAAATAAAGCTGTATCCAAATTTAAGCTGGCCTAAAACATAAGTTAAAGGTCAAGTTAGTCCAACCTCTTAGCATAACTGAATAATGAAGATTTACAGGGTTTTTAGAACGAACAACATTCAAATCATAATTACAATCTAAATTGGAATAATTGGGAGTGAGAACATCTGCTGGAGACTTAAAATCAAAATATGAAAATATTTGTTGGATGAATTTTTATATAAATGAAAATGAATCCTTTAAGGCAAAAAAAATGAAATTACTTTTTTTTTCCTTGAAGAGAGCTATGAATTTTCAGAGTTTACAGGAACTTTGTGGATCATCTATTCTAGAGATAAATTAGTTTCAACTGCAGGCCAACTTTAAGCAATTGTTAGTGGGTGCCTGGGGCATTGTGATTAATCCTGGGAGGTAAGCTCAGTGAGGAGTGTCTGACTGATTAATGTCTGCCATGGCCAGAGGAGGATGTGAAAGGCTGCAGGACAGACGGAAAGACATGTGTGGAAGGACATATTCCAGATACTGTTCATTGATCCAGTCTAACCTATATATAACCTTGACAAAAGAAACCTTAAACTGCAGAGAAATTAAGTGTCTGCCAATGGTCACGTGGCTAGTTTGTGACAGAGCTAGAATGAAAGCTTAAGCAGTCTCGGTTCTCCTTTGAGATCCTCCTATCCACAGAAGTCATTAAAAATGTACTACACACTTCCCTGCCCCAGGAGCTAGTTTAAGGAAGACACTGGCATAGGCAGTGATGCCTACAGGGTCCTGGGGGCGCACAAGGCTGCGCGCTGCTCACTCAGTGCAATCATGAAATGAGAGTGCCTAACAGTGTCTGCTAAACCATGTGGCCTTCTGGTGGATCCGATAGACTTCTGTTGCCGTCCAGAGCGGGGGCTAGGCAACTGCGTTCTTTTCAAGAGCTTTTAGGTCTATGGACCAAAATTTGAACAACATTGGGATGGTGTTTCTCTGCTTTCTGCCAGTTCTGTTCTATGGTTTTCCGACTTCACAGTACCTCAGAGCACCTCTTTTGCCTAGTCTCTTTCTCCTTCCATCCATATTTTTGTGATGGTTTCTTGCCTCTTCACTTTTTGGTGCAGCTTCTCTTGTTCCCGGCTCTAGCTACCATCGTCGGCCAGTGAGAGAGTCCCTCTTGGTTATTTGGTGAACTGATCCAACATGGAATGTCTTTCCAGCTTTGTCTTTGGAGCCTTCCAGCCATTCCCAACTGTTCCCCTTGGGAGTATAGACTCTGGCTCCACGTCTTACTGACAGTGTGACCTTGAGCAAATGACTTCACCTCTCTGTGCCTCAGTTACCTCATCTTTAAAATAGAAATCATAATCGTATCTACCTGATGCCATTGTTGTGAGGATTAATTTAGATGAACTAACAAAGAGCAAAGCGCTTAGAACAGTCTGGTTTATTAAGGTACAATGTAAGTCTTTGCTATTATTATTATTACTATTACTACTACTACTATTATTATTTTCTTTCATACTGTTTGAAGCTACCAGACAGTCAAGAGCCAAATAACCAAGACACTTATAGAAGTAACAGCTTAATCCACAGCTCAATCAATAGATAAGTTCAACAGCAAGCAGCTATCAAACACTGGGTATCCACATGTTTCTTTATGGTGATTACAAATGCTTTTTCCTTAACACAGTGGATATCCCCACCACCACCCCACACACCCTCCAGCAGCCATGATGTACAGCCGGTGACTGGACTGGGGGTGGCCACCTGACTCAGGCTGGACCAGTCCATTCTCTCTCTCACAATTTAGTATTGGGACTAAGAGACGGTCGAGTTAGTATCTCTTTGAAACTGGCATTTTAATGTAAACTTGGGAGCTGTGGAGCAGCCATATTTCCCACAATGAGAAACTGAGAAGTAGAAGAAATTAGCTTGTTGGCAATAAGAGAAGAGAGAAGCTGGAACATTCTAAGGGTCTCCCAGTCCCTGGTTCTAGCATCCCCCCAGGCCTGCCTGAATTCCATTGACTGGGTCTGTCCAACACCCTTATAACTTATAGCCTTTGATTCTCTCTTTTACTTAATCTAGATCAAGCGTGTTTTAGCCAGAAGAGATCTAGTACCTACTTTCACTAGCAGTGGCTTTGAAATTTGTGAATTCTCTGACAGATCTCTCCAACCTAATAAACACAGAATCAACTAAAAACAATATGCTTACCATACAAATATAGTTTTGCAACCACTCCCCTATTTCCCCCCTCCCAATGCCCCATCCAATGAGATTATTGCCCTAGGTCACACCTAATACAGAGTTTCTGGAGCTGCTACTGTTCATAGGAATATCTGAAACAACCAGCACAGGGAACTAAGATCGATTTCATTGGTCTTAAAATAGCCCATGCAGAAAACTGGACCATTATACTGACTGTATTTTATTAGTTAGCTGGAAGGTTAACAATGAACGAAGGTTGGTAAAACCTACCGCTCTCTGCCTTTCTCTGTTTTTTCTCTCCAGTTTCTCTGAGCTTCTACTCTGGCATCAGACCGAGGAAAAGAGTCATGGCAAATGGGCTGCTCTGAGGGCCAGATCACAGAGTGCCTCGTATACGGTTGATGTTGGCTTTTCTCTGAGTAGAACGGTATTGCAAAAGGTTGCAAGAAAAGAGAAAATGCAGCATGCGGAGCCCAGCAAGTATTTGAGCTCTTTCAGGTAGAGAGAAGGGGAGACCAGGGAGGTAGACGTGAACTAGCAGATGACATGCTAATGGGCAAGGATGCGGTCCTGAAGTCACAAGCACCATTTAATTCTGTTCCAATTTGCTAAAAGAACACGATTTTTCCAATATTTTAAATGAAAGATTTTCTTTAGTATGCTCATTGAAAACAAAGTCCAAATATTTTATGCCATATACTGTATATGGAATAAAAAGGACAAGAATCCCTGCTCCCATCGCTAAGCTCCTCATCAGACACAACTACGGTCAGTTAATGCAGTGTGTGTCTGAGACAGCTTTGCTGGAAGGCCCTGCTCCCTGGGTTTGGTGACTGTGTTTACAGAGCACAGTGATTTCTCTCATGCGGCATGATTAGGGAATGCAGAATTATAGCTGGTCACACATTCTGGATAACCTGAAGACCCCA